CGATTTCGGGAAGTTACGTTATGTGGGTTGGGGCTGTACGGAACAGGGGCAATTTGGGAAATACATATTGTACTGTAGGGTTTTATTCTATGATTATAATAAACATGTTTGTAATCTTAGGTCTTTGAGAGAGTTGGATCCCTGAATTCTGTAAACCCTTTTCTGAATACCTTTTCTGAATCCTCTATTCTATAACCCTTTTCTGAATATTGAAAGGAACTCGCCGCTCTGCTCCCGAGGACGTAGGCATCTTTGCCGAACCTCGTTAAATCTCTGTGTTCTTCTGGATTTGTGTCGTTCTAGTTTTTCTTCGCCCTTATTTTCTCAACAGGTATTAATTGTTGGATTTGGTGAAGAATCCAAAAAGGATGACAATTCAACTCTCAACTATAAGGAAAATTATTACTTGAACTAAACCGCACATCATGCATTTCGTATGGTTGGATGAACCGGCCACGCCATCATGCATTTCGTATGGTTGGATCGTTGCCGGTGTCCGGACTGATGACATTATACAAATACTTCCATTTACCCAGAGAAACTTTCTCCTAATTGCCCCTAATTTTCATGTCATGGGTGATTAATAGGGTAAGGGTCTTCCTTTATCTCATAATCGGATAAGCAATATGTCAACGATAATTCGAGAGGTAGTTCATCCCAGACTACCCCGACAACTTAGAAAAAATATTACATCCGGACAGCGGTACATCCGAATGACCAACCACCGACCTCCACATCGTCCGCCAATGAGGTGCATGGCGACGTGCCGCCTGGTGGTTGGTTGTCCGAACATGCAGTGTCTAGATGAAATATTTTCTCGACAACTTGAGATGAGACGAAAGGATTAGTCTTAATTCTTGAAATTTCAAAAGTCGACATCGATTAAAGCCTTTAATACATGTAAAAAAAATATCATATACAAATAATAAAAAATTATGAGAATAAAATTATGCAGGGATTTATTAATATGTAGTAACAAGTAGTAAATGTCGCCAAGCCAACTAGTCTATAAAGTTACTATGTCAGTGAAAGAGTGGCATATAACTTTAAGAAATCCATAATATCACTATGTTTATGATCATCTGTATGACAAACCATAAACAGTACAATTTTATGCAAACATTCATTTGAAGCTATAGGAGACATATTTGCACATGACTTTTCATCAATCATTTATGAAAAGATATTCATCAAGTCCATGATTTCTCATGACACATTAAACTAACTATAGCCATTCCCATGACCTTACATATATAACAAAATCAAAACCTTACATATATGTAACTCCCCACCCCACACAAAGCAATGAGTACATAAAGTTTAATCACATACACATTAACAAAATTCATAAACTATACCCATCAAAATCAACAAAACATCAAACAACATTACACAAACAAATTAAAATTCATGATAGAAATATCAGATCACAACATCAAATCTGTTTTTGCAGGCAATCTTCTGAAGAAGTTCACAGGGGCAGATGGCAACTTACTCCTGAACCTGGGATGCCTCATCATGTAAAACCCACAGACCACAACCAGCACAGAGAAAGGAGTCACATAGAGCACCACAGCTCCCACGATACACAAAATCAATCCTATCACTGTCGCGCGAGGATCCCTCCAGCCCAGCATAGCCTGCACTCTTTCTCCTTGCGTCGCAATATCTCCTACTACGGTCTGTATCCTCCCCGCCACACTCCTCAATCTGTCGTATCTCATCTTCACTATATCTGCACTCCTGCTCGTTGGAAACGTGTCGAATTCTTCGTCGAGTTCATCAGGATGCACTCTATCAGCGCAAGAGATTCTGGTGTTCATGTGTGGCGGATATCGCGGCCGGCTACGATAGTTCCATAAGCCAATCAGGAACAGATAGAGAAAGATTGTGGGGAGTAAAAGCTCTGGGAAACACACAAACATGAGAAAGAGGATGTGTACAAGCACAGTTGTTATTGGGTTCTTCCACCAGCATACATCATTGAACCACTTCATAGAAGTTAAAAAGCTTGAGAAGACTGAAACTAAGCGGAAAAAGTTCGCCTTGCTGCGTCTCATACTCCATAGATGAGATTCAACATCACACATATACTCCACAACTTCGCTTTTTAATGGCGGTTCCATACGGCTAAGTCTTGCTGCTATAATCTGGACGGCGTGGTTACGGAGAAAGTCGAGCTGCAACATGGAGAGTGGTCTGATATAGTGCATCTTTGGCAGTAAAGGTTTGGAGTATAGCAACATTGTGTTCAGCATTGATGGGGAAGAGAATCGAATTGCCATATGAAGCTCACCCATCTTCTTCAACCCAGAGTTATGTAGGACAAGTAGTGGATATGAATGAGTGTACACTCTTCCAGCTTCCAAAGTCGAGAGTCGAATACGGACCTTGCCGATTCTGCTGTCTTTGAGTCCAAGTGAGGATTTTTCGATCTGGGAATTGTCGAACACGCCGACAGTGAGCACGGTGGCGTGGTCGTACACTTCCCATGTGTACTGTTCGTTGTACTTGGGATTTAGGCTGTTGATTATAGTTCTAGTTCTCACCCATTTCTGTCCATATTTTGCTACACAGTAAGTGTCACAGGTGCCTTTTCCTTCTCTAGTCTTTGTTGGAGTGAGCCCCTCTACATTGAGGATTCCAAGCTCAAGCAGCCCAACTGAAGGTTTCCATAGCTGTTTCGCCGACGGCCGGAGGTCGCTGCTGTAATGTGTTGACTCGTCCAGCACGTGGTAACCTCCTTCAAGGCAGACTCTGACATTAAGTCTGCTGGAGAACTTCTCCTTCTTTGAATTCTCTTCTTCTGCTACACCATGCTTATCAAGACTGTACCATCTCGAGTTAACGACTTGATCATCAGTGCGTCTCTCAATTGTGCCTACGTGTATCTGAACTCGGCCAATCAATTCTTCTTTGTTGGGACTGACCCGATCGAAAACTGAAAGTAGTAATGGTTCTTCAAAGGGCTCAGCAGCAACAAAGGTGTAATCTTCATTCCAAACAAAGCTTAAAGTCCTAGACTGGAGTGGCTTTGTCTTCAACACCTGCTGGCCAAGTTGACACTTCACAAAAACCTCAGAAAGCTGCCTCTTTTCGGCAATTATGATGTCTTGTGCTTCGATAACATTGACTCTAACATACCACAGCCTTGGCGCATGATAAACTTTGGATCTGATTTCTGAATTTAGAAACAAACCAGAGGGCGTCACAGCATCAGAAATCACAGCAATTGGAAAACACTCATCAGCTTGAGTTCCAAACCAGATGGCTAACATAACCTCTCCTTTCACCTTCTCCCCCTTCTTTCCAACAAGCCAATGCCACCCCGGAGCAAGCGGACTATCAGGAGGAGCTCGTCTCGGGAGATCATGGAGGTCAAACCGCACCATGCCAACAATGTCGTCCTTGACTACATCCTTGTCTTTGACAAAAACTTCGACAAATGAGGATTGAATCAATTCTCTTGAAAAGGCGAAAACCTCATCCCATTCCGGGTTTTGATTATTCTCAAAGTGTTTAGTAACGCCCTTGTAGTTGCCGAGCCTCACTTCAACATAAGGATCAATGCTTCCAGCGATGTTCTTTCTCGGCAATTCTCGAGCCTTCACAACCCGCACAAACAGATACTCGACCTTCTCAACAAGATCATATGTGCTGATTGGCTTCTCCGCAGGTATCACCCGACCTCCTACGACTTGTCCGCCTCCTAGGGAAGGGCTAGTTTCTTTGAGCTGGAACTCTAATGGCTGTTGGGACGAGGAAGACAACACTCTTACAGCTCTTGGAGGCCCTGAATTCATCTCTTTATCAGCAAAATATAATTTTTCTTCTCTTGGAAGGTGATTGAAAGTATGTACGTAATCTCCTCTATTATCCTTGAACTGAGATGAAGTTGAATTCAGAGTTGAGATTTCAGATTCAGGCTGATATGCTTGACCATGAAGAGAATCAGTTTGGAAGGGATCAAAATCTGGGAGGGGATTGTAAGGCCTTGTCGATGGGTTTTCAGTGAGAAATACTTTGAGGCAAAGCTCTCCTTTTGTGCGCGCAAAAATATGAGGTTTCTCTAATGGATAGTGAAGCGCAGTTGCTTCTGCAAGGGGCACAAACGAGGTGCCGGAAATTGGGACCTTTCCGATTAAAGACTTTGAATTTGTGTTTCTATTTAAATGATAGACATGGGCCTCAAGAGCGAGATTTGGGATGGATGATGGATCAGAAATGTTGAAGTAGAACAGCTCGTTCCACTGAGGATTCAGGTCTTTCTCTTTGATGGCTGTTCGACACTTCTGGTTGTCGAAATTGAGCTCAACGCAGGGATTGGAGGAGCCCTGTCCATCCTTTGGGGGAAGATCCTGGGCACTGAGAACTTGTACACCTAACTTAAGATTGCTCATTTTAATAACAGAGTTGCTGGCTTTGATTCAGTAATTTTAACCACCAGTGACCCCCCTGAAGGAAAAAAACAGGGTTGCAGGTGAACTGTCACAAGAAACAAACAAATCCTATGTATTTACATATCTAACTGGGAATTAAAAGTCAATTTTTACATGCATACCTTCCTACCTATACATGAAAAGGTGCATTTCACTTATTAATTAAAGTTAAAATGGTTGAATTTTTTGTGTGAAATGAAAGATTTGGGAGGTTAAATGCAAAAAAGTAAAGTTTAGACAAAATCTATAATTCACACAGCAACCTTCAAAAAAATTGCTTTCCTCCACAACAATTTAACAGCCATTATTACAACTTCAGCCGCACCAAACAAAACCCTAAGCATCAAATCATAATTTTTTTCTTAGCGTCCCTTTGTGTTTACAGAAAAAAACAAACATGCAGATGAAGATGCTGCATGACCATCTTAGGATATAGGAATTTAGCAGATATGAATTTTTTAGAGCTTCTTTATCATAAAACTTTCTTAAAATAAAGATACAAAAACCGGAAGTAAACAAACACTTTTATAAGGCTCGTTAATCCGATCTGAAAATCATAACTTGCACAGAACTGTTCGACTGACAGAAGAAAATTTATAAATTGCAGTCGGATAATTTGCAACTTGATATGCTCTGTTGAACCTGTTCAGTTTCAAAATCACTAATTTCTACAGGAAATAATTCTTCTGGAAAAAGCTAAATCATCAGCGAAAGAAAATCAAATCCTGAAGCTGGTGAGAAAGAGGAGAAGCCTTTTAGAACAGATATACCTTTACTAAAAATCATAGAAGAGATACAAAAAGCAAAAAAGTTGAGAAATTTTTTATAAAATTTTAAGTTTTTTCTTTGTGGCGAGCAAAAAAGAGCAATTTTTTAGCTTACTTACCTCTCTGAGAAGAAGAAATGCAAAACCAGCAATAGAACCAGCAAAAGTTAAGAGAAGAAGGTGAGGAAATTGTTGTTACTCGTCTGAGTTGTGTGATAAGGAGAAGGACGACCTGCTTGCCGTCAATGGAAGCAGACATTGGAATCATTGCCATCGCTATCCATCCTACACAACCATTTTTTATTTTTATTTTTTTTAAATCACACTTTACATGTTTTGCTATATGATTTTTGTTAGGGATATTTAGATGCATAACACTAAACTCTTCTATATTTACATGTCAAACCCATGAACTTTAATTTTTTTTATATTTAGGCCACTCAAATCTTTCGTACCTCAATAAAAATATCATCATTTTAACTTTAAAAAAAAATGAACTGCACCTTTCATGCATAATTAAGATGATATTTATGTAAAACTTGAAGTTTGTGTTGATGTTGTGAGATCTAGATATATATAAATCAAACATGAGAATGATCGACGAAACAAAAATATAAGAAAAATTCACAACAGAAAACAGTAACACCACAGCGGAACACATAGATTTATGTGGTTCGGCAAATTAACTACGTTCACTGAGTTGTAGAGGATTTTACTACTTAAAGAATTTACATCAGTCGATCACCTCGACTTACAGGAGGAATCTCTCACTTCGTTACTCTCTCTTCTACTCTCTTTTTTCTTCTCTCTCTACACTGAGATACACCGAAGAAACTCTACACCGAGATACATTGAAGAAGATAAAGTTGATTACCTCGACTTACAAGAGGAATCTCTCACTTCGTTGCTCTCTCTTCTTCTCTCTCTTTTCTTCTCTCTCTGCACTGAAATACACTGAAGAAACTCTACACTGAGATACACCTAAGAAAATAAACTTACAAGAGAAATAACCATAATTTTTCTTCTGCCACAAGCTACTAAGAAGAAGCCAAGGGAGAACAATCTTCTTATTTTTCTTCCTTCACCGCAAGGAACTACTGCTTGCACTATCTTTCCTTCTATCCCGAGGAAATCGAAGAAACACAAACCGTGACTTCTAAAACTCAAGGAGAGTCGTCTAAAGCCTTTTATCACGAACAAGAGGGAGCGAAATGATGCTTCTCTTCACAAAAGAGGAAGGCGGGAACGGTTGGCGCCTACGGTTCACGACTAGACGCTTCGCTTCGCCCGCGGGAGTGGGCTGAGGCGGGATCGCAAACGAGAGATCGCAACCTTTCGCGATTGGAAGAGCAAGAGTGGGAGGGGGCCTGAACCGGGCTCTAGCATATCAAATCTCCCACTTGGAGACCGGTAAACATGCTACAACATCTCCTTCCTCGAACTAATATCCTCCACTGGCGGTGTCGCCCTTTTTTTCTTCAAACATGAATCCTCCACCATTAATCCTCCAACTTGAATCCTCCACCTCTGCAACTCAAAGTCTCGTCTTCACTCCAAAAGACCAACTGAAGCTGTGCACAACTTCAGTTTCTCAAGAGTAATACCCTCAGTTAACATATCAGCAGGTAACATATCACCTCAGTTAACATATCAGCAGGGTCCAAATAGCCTTGCACCTCCAAGCTATTTCTTGATTTACATTTGTCTATGCTTAGAACTCCTACTGCATGAGCAATATCATGCCTCTATTGAAAGTCTTTTTCAACAATTCTAGCATTGTACATTTTAATGTCATCACGCTCAGTCTTCACCTGGTACACCCACTTCTTGTGTAATGTATTCTTCCCTGGTGGAAGTTTTGTTAGCTTCCACTTGCTCAAATTTTCATCTTGCAAGATTTCTTCATAGTTCTTTCGTTCTCCAGCCTGCCTATGAAACAATAGGAATGGGTGCCCCGGACTCACTCTCCTCTTCACTTCCATCATCAACAGAACTATAAACTGTCAGCAATAGTGCATCATGTTCTTCTTCAGATACCACATTTGCACTATCATTCTCTATATTCTTGGGATTCCTGGAGTTCCTCTTTATGTGGCCAACCTTGCCACAATTCCAGCAGGTTTTCTGCTGACCAGACTTTAATTTTGATCTCCCTATGTTTGAGTTCATGTCATGACATTTCCCTCTGAAATCAACATTCAGAGTCGAACTCGTACCTGAGATCTCGCCAGAATCTTTACTGCGCATTTCCTCAGCCAAAATCAAATCACCAATATCATCACATGTTAGTTTAGATTTACATGCAGTATTGTTAACCGTCATCCTCATGACTTCCCAACTATTTGGCAACAATATGAGCGCATGTATCTGATCATCAAAATCAATTTCAATATACGACAATCGATTTGTGATAGTATTGAAATCATTCAAGTGTTGAGCAACAGAAACACCTTCCGCCATCTTTAAATTAATAACTTCTTCATCAAGTACACTTTGTTATTCGCCGATGGTTTTTTATACATACTTGATAAGACTCCCATGAAATCTGCAATCGTCCTCTCCTTGACGACGTTGTGTGCAACGAACCTCGATAAAGTCAATCGAATAACCCCTAGAACTTGTCGATCCAACAAATTTCATCCTGCCTCATCCATTCTTTCAGGTCTTTTCCCCAATAACGGAAGATGAAGTTTTTTCTCATAAAAGTATTCATCTATCTGCATCCTCCAGTAACCAAAATCTGTGTCATCAAATTTCTCGTTCCCTGAAATCTTAACTTCACTGTAGCCATCATCTTCCTCGGGTCCTAAATAAAGCTCTGATACTAGTTGTTGATGTTGCGAGATTTAGTTATATATAAATCAAACAGGAGAACGATCGATGAAGCAAAAATAAAATGAGAAAAAATTCATACCATAAAAAAGTAACACTACAGCAAAACACACAGATTTAAGTGGTTAGGAAAATTCCCTACGTCCACGGAGTTGCAGAGAATTTTACTACTTGAGGAATTTACACCAGTCGATCACCTTGACTTACAAGAGGAATTTTTCACTTCGTTGTTCTCTCTTCTTCTCTCTCTTTTCTTCTCTCTCTACACCGAGGTACACTGAAGAAACTATATACTGAGATACACCGAAGAAAATAAAATTATAAGAGAAATAAACACAATTTTTTTCTGCCACAAGCCACCAAGAAGAACAATCTTCTTCTTCCTTCATCGCAAGGAACTACTGTTTGCACTTTCTTTCCTTCTGTCCCGAGTAAACCTTTCTCTATCTCGAGGAAACCGAAGAAACACAAACCGTGACTTCTAAAACTCAAGGAGAGCCATCCAAAATCTTTTATCACGAAAAAGAGGGAGCGAAGAGATGTTTCACTTCACAAAAGGGGAAGACGGGAGCGGTTGGCGCCTACGAGTCACGACTGGACGCTTCGCTTCACGCGCGGGAGTGGGCGAAGGCGGGATCGCGAACGAGAGATCGCGACCTTTTGCGATCAGAAGAGCAGGAGCAGGAGGGGGTCCGAACCGGGCTCCAGCATAACAGTTTGTATGTTAGATTTGTAAATAAATGGAAATTGAGTGGTATCTATATAAATCCTTTTTTTTTAATATGCAGTTTAAATTCAACTCATTCTTAGGGGTTGTTTGATTTAGTAAATTTTGTCTATACCAGGTTTTTATAAATCTGGGATTTAAGGCAATACAAAGAGGAAATTGAGAAGAATCTGATTACTGAATTCATGATTTTAAAGTTATCCCTTTTTTTTATACATATTTGATAAGATTTAAGTAATAGTAAACTTAAATCTGTTACCAAATGGAATGTTAAGGAGTTAGTTTAAATTAACAACTAAGAATTTGTTGAATACAAATCTGTTCGAAAGGCACACTTACGAATTAGGGTGCAAAAAAGAATAAGGAAAAGAGCAGAGAGCACAGTAATAAACGGTAAATTTTCGGGTAATCTTTATTCACAAAATGAGTTTATATTTATAAGAATGATGAATGTAAGCTTACATTTGTGCCCCCGACTAAAGCAGATACAGTACGACGTATTTTGGGCAATACACGGTTGTAAGGTCGGGAGCATTGAATAGCATCTGATTGGGTCATGATCCGGGCGGCTATGACCCGAGAGCCCGAAATGGTGTTCAATCGGGTTTTGTTCGGATTGGCTATGACTGAAGGGTTGACTGGGAAATACCAGCCAACTAACTAAGGTTTGGGCAGCTCTTAGCATCTACCTGCATGAGGAATGTTGGTGTATTTGTCCCTGTGAGGTTCGTATCGGTGGACTTTTTGAGATGATATATTATATTTCTCCCCGCTAACAAAATCCGGGAGCGTAAATGTGGACTCTCGAACTGTCTCCAGTGGGTCTAGTTTCACAGCATCACCCTCTCTGCTGGCTATTGGATTTCTTTGAGACTTGTTGCATGAACTCAGATTCGTGCAGCCCATTTAGCACAGCAATATTAGTCAAATTCGACTTAAAATTTAATTTGATTTTTTTTTCTTGGATTAAGCTGTACTTATGTTAATAAACATTTTAGATTATTCTCTATTTATAATAATTATAACCATGAAAAGAAAAGATGAGTTTTTCTTCGAGACCTCAAGTCAAGCTACCAACCAATGTGATGCTGCCGAACGTGACGTAGAGTTATTATTTTAACTAATTGACGTTGACTCCATATAAATGATTTTCGATGACATCAGCAGTAGAAATTAGGATTTTTGTTAATTAAAGCAGCCCAAATCCATAATTTAAGGATTTTAAGTTTATGATATAATAATTTGAAAAAAAAATTATACTCCTCTCAACGGAAAAAATTTGCGTACATAAGACGTACGCAGAGTTGTGTACGTTTGTAACTTGTAAACAGGTTACAGGGAGGATTTTAGGAGGTTATAACCGCGTTATTCCCCCTGTAACCTCCTTGTAACCTACCTGTACCTTCGAGTCAGTTCCGCGCTTCTGTTTTCATATATAGGTAGGTTACAAGGAGGTTACAGGGAGGTTACAGGGTGTATAACACGGTTATAACCTCCTGAAATCCTCCCTGTAACCTGTTTGCAGGTTACAGACGTATGCAGCTCTGCATACGTCTTATGTACGCAAATTTTTTCCCCTCTCAACACCCGACACAAGAAAAGGAGAAAAATTTGAACGTACGCAGCGCTGCGTAAGTCAGCAGGTTACTGAGAGGGTATTGAGATGTTATATTCGGGTTATATCTCTGTA